ACTAAAATGTCATACAGACAATGACTTGTTTAGACTGCTCTGTGTGCTATGCGCTGAAATGCAAGTACAATATTTATATTCCAATTGATTTATCTTACAGTTACATGGTAGAAAGGAGAACGTCAGCAATTTGTCAGTCACAGTGAGCTGTGACACGGCTGTATTTTTCGGGCTGATTTTGTAAGCAAGTCGTTTTTAAGTGAGGTGAAACCTGGCGGTCCGTGAGACAGATCAGCCTCCTGAAAGGGGGACAGTCGTCAGAGGGTTTGAAAATGTTTCTCTTGCTTCGTCTCCCAGATGTGCAAGTCACGAGAAATTCTCCCCTCCCTCGGATCCCTGTGCCAGGCTCTCTTGGTCAGTAGTTTTCCGTCCCCCTCGGCTCTACCAGGCCCTGGAGAGTGGAATGGACCCAGCATGGGAGCTCGGCCCAGCCAGCCAGCCCAGACCCCTTCCCAGCAGGACTATGCTTCTAGTTCAGCAGCCCCAGCGGCTTGATTCCATCTCAGGGACTGGAGTTAGTGGAGGAAAGATGGGGCCTTTCTGGGTCTCAGGGCTCGTGTGGGACAGCCGGGAACTAGGCTGCGGCCCGCGGGGAGCGGCACGGCTTACTGGGCCGGCAGGCCCGTGAGATGGCTAAGGCGGCGATTGCAGGATTTAGATTGTTTCGATCAGAGCAAGGTCCCAAGGGCAAAAACCCCCGCAGGTCTCCCGTTCTCCGGGTCTCGTCTTCCTTCCCCCTTCGCCGCCCCCGGCCGTGTGTGGTACTCACGCGACGTCCAGCCACTCTTTGCAGGGAGCGGGGCGGGGAGCGATTTTTGTAACCACGCGACGTCCCCTGACTCGGGGTGCGGGGAAAACGCGTCGGGAAATCACCAGTCAGTAACTAGAGTCGCTCTTGAAGGCAAAGCTCCCCGGGGCGGGGTGGAATCCAGCCCCGGGAACAGCCTTCAGTGGCTTCCACCCAGCGATCTCAAAGCCCAGGAAAGGTTGTGTCATGGCCCCCCTATTTTACAGCTGGGGAAACTGAGGCACGGAGAGGGGAACACTCGGGAATAGGACCCGGGCATGCTGAGCCCCACGCCAGCGCCCTCTGGCCCGCCCCATTGGGGAAACGGCTGAGCGCCGCGGCTGGGGACAGATGCCGGGAGCTTTGCACGGGTCGCTGCGGAGATGGTGACATCAAGCAGCAGGAGAGCGGGTGATAATGATGAAATAAGGCCCCTTGATGGCCAAAGGGAGCCGGGGCTGTAAATCAGGCCCCGCGGCTCTCAGCTCCTGCCGCTGTGGGGGAGGGGGGGAGGGCCATTGCCCCTCGCTAACGACCCTGCCGCAGCCTGGCTGTAGGGACTGCGGCTGCTGTAGGAGGCTGAATTTAGGGCTGGAGCGGCCGGGTGCTGGGAGCTCAGGGGTGGGGGAGGAGCTGGGATGGGGGCCTGGTTCTCAGTGACACCCAGGCTCCCTAGGGTGCTCTAGCAGCATCAAGGGCCCTTAAAGAAAGGGGAAAACAGTCCCCTGGGAATCCCCCCCTCGTGCACAAGGGGCCTCCCAGCCGGGGTGAACCTGGCAGAAGGGCCCTGCAGCCCCCCCCCAATCCCTGGCAGAGGGGGTGGATTGGGGCCATGGCTGCAGTGCACTGCACTGTGGGTATTCTTTGCCCCCCAGGGGCCATGAGGAGCAGAGTGAGAGTTAGAGCAGCCTAGAGGCTGCTCCGAGTGACCCCAGGGGCCTGGCAGGGCCCAGAATACGTGGCGCCCAAAAGTGGGTCAAGCCCCAGTTTCCTGCTCTACCTGCTCCTTGAGCTTTGTAAATGTGAGTTGGAGGAGCCCAGGGCTGGGGTAGCAGGGGGCTGCGAGTCGGGATCGAGGGGCACTGGCAGAGCTTGGCCCCTGCCCCGTTATGCCTGGCTCTAGCCGGTGCTCTCAGCCGCTCCCTGCGTTCCACGGATGTAGCGTGCGTAAAGTAACACCGTGTGTCAGCCTGTGGGCCTGACCCGGAGCCCTGGGGTGGGGTTCACGAGGGGGATACAGCGTTGCCCCCAGGCCAATCTGCCCATCCCCTAGACTACCCTTCCTCTAGCGCCCCCTTAACAGGCACGTGTGTTCAGCCCCCGCCCACTCGGCGGGAACAGGAGAACAGGGCCTGTGCCATCGGGAAGGGGTCCCGGCAGAGCGATGGGGACTGACATCACCCCCCTGGGGGCAGTGGTGATTGCTGATCCATGCCCCTTCGATTTGTGGGGGGCTGGCGTGGGGTGCAGACAGGCAGGAGGAATAGTCTGTAGCCCTCGTGCTGATGTGATGGTGCCCTGGCTGGGGTCTGCCTGTCTGTGCATGCGCCACTAGAATCGGCACTGCTCCCCTGTGTGTCATTGTCTCTGTAATGCTAAGAGCTGATGGGGATTCTCCTTCAGCTCAGGCGTGGACTTTTGGAGCTGGGGATGGGAGCCCAGCCCACGCTGCAGGCGAGACGTGCGGCTGGATTTGCTGCAGCGTGCCAGCTGCTGTTTGCCTGCGCTGCACGGCTGGCTGGTTGCTGGGCTGCCAGGCCCCCGGGTGCGGTGCAGGGAAGCGGATTGCTGGCACGTGGGCTGACGGGTCGCGGGGGATGGGATTGACGGGGGTTCAGTGCCAGCGATAGGTGCTCTGGAGAGCAAACCCCTCTTTTCATCCTCATAACACTGAGCCCCTGATCCAGGACCCAGCTACGGCTGGGGGACAGGGGGGTCTGAGCCAACCTGACCTTGTTACCGGCTGCTCAGTGATCGGTGCCCACATGCAATGAGTTTGGGGGGGTCTCAGCCGCAATCGGATTCCCCAGACTAGGGAAAGTGACACACCATGGAGTGGGGGGGGGCCCTCCAGCAGAGGGGATGAGCCCCATGGACAGAGGAGGAAGGAGGGGAGCTCACCCTGCTTGTGGATACCCCGAGGCGCGTGGCACTGTTTTCCGTCCCCTCGACACGCTGAAGGGGGAGCTGTGCAGGCCACTGGCTGCTCTGTTTGGGGACCCCAGGGGGCTGGGTTTGACCCCGAATCAGCCCAAGAGCATAAAGCCCCGCAGGCGAGACGTGTCTCACCATCCGTCCCCCGCCCCGACGCCCATCCATCACCGTCCTGGCTGGGGCCGGTGGGCTTAAAGGGACCCTGCCCCTAGAGATCCATCGCATTGTCCCGACTTGGTCACTCTCTGGGCATCCCCCCTTCCCCTTCATCACTGGTGCAAGGGGCCCCGATCCTGCCAGGTGCGCCCGGGCCTGATCCGCCGTCGCCTAGCAGGGTCGCCGTGAGGCGGGGACGTGATCGCGTGAGGGGTGGGGTGAGGTCCTGGGGGATCTGGCAGGTTGGCCCAGGGGTATGGGTCTGGTTTTGATGGGGATTGGTCCTGCTTTGAGCAGGGGGTTGGACTAGATGACCTCCTGGGATTCTATGAGTCTGTGATGGGGGTTTGTGCTGGGGTCTCTACCTGCAGGCAGGATGCAGCTTGTGGGATCGGGGCCGGAGCAGGTGAAATGCCCCGTGGACTCTGCGGGGGGAGGGGGGTGTCTGTATAGGGGGGGCAGTCCGTGCTCTGAGCCCAGTCGGACACTTGGCCATTAATTTCAACGGGAACAGGATCGGGACCTTAAAATACGTTGGAAACTCATCTCCTTCCCCCCCAAATCAACCCTATTTCCTCCCTTCCCCCCTGACACTCCTAGAAATTGCCATGGGGGGGCCCATCCCCACCCCCGTCCCTAGAGGTCACTAGGGTCAATAGTGGTCAATAAGTTTGCCTCCTGCCTCAGTTGTCTCCAGCTGGTTCCCACGGGGGCCAGGCCCTGCAGCTGAGCCCCTCTGTGGATCGGGCCCCACGGGGCTCCCCAGAAAAAGCCGCCCCCAAAATTCAAGGCCATTTTGGTCCTGAACATGAGTGGGAAGTTGGGGGGGGAGGGGGAGGTCAAGGAGGTGCAGTAATAAAAGCAGCCTCCAGGGGGCTCCTGGAATTTGCTTTAGGGGATTGAGTGGAGGGGCCTGCGTGGGGGAGTCCAAGGCTGGAGCAGCTGGGGGGCTGCAGATCGGGGTTGAGGGGCTTTGGCAGAGCTGCAGGGGTCAGGGTTGAGGGGTGTCGTTAGCCCTGCAGGGCAGGGGGCCGGGGGGAGCTGGACTAGCAGGGTGTTCTATGGGTCAGGACCGCAGCGTTGGCTAAACCGAGTGGGGGAAATTTACGTAGCATCTGGCGTCAGCTGGGGCTCTTCGGCTCTGGCTTGCATGAGCAGCCCAGGTCTGATCCCCGGCTGTCCCACGGGAGCCACTTTGGGGTTAATGGGAAGCGTGTCTGCTCCGGCCCTGCCGCCACGCGCCATGGGTGCGTCCAGCCGCGTGTTTGGACTCAGGAGATCCGGGCTCCAGGCCTGGCTCTGACACTGCTCCCTGCGTGACCTTGGGCCGATTGTCCACAGAGCGCGGCCTGAAAATCCCGCTGTACTCGTCTCAGCCGGGGAGCACTTCACTGTGTCTGAGCAGCATCTACCAGTGCAGGGCCCTGATCTCGACTCCAGGATACCCCACAATCTGGCCTGAAGGGAGCTGAGCCCTGGGAAATCAAGCCCTGATCATGGGCGCTGAGAGCACCTGTCTATCTGGCCTGTAATCGTGGGGTGTGCCTCAGTTTCCCCATCTATAAAGTGGGGCTAATGATCCTTCCCTGCCTCCAGATACATTCATTTTGCCCCTTTAATGACAATCCCTAGCTCTTTGCAAAGGAAGTCAGGGTCATCATCACCACTGTACAGGTGGGGAAACTGAGGCACAGAGGCGGGAAGTGACTTGCCCAAGGTCACCCAGGAGCAGAGTTGGGAACAAACTGAAGTCTCTCGAGTCACAGTCGTGTGCACTATTCAGTAGGCCACGCTGCCCCAAGGCCCCAGGGGCTGCCATGAAAGCAGGGGGGCTGCGTAGGCCACTAGACAGGACATGCCCCAGAGTGAGGGCTCGGCGGCTCTTTGCAGCGGTGACTCCGGGATGGGGCTGCCCGGCGCAGGAGTCCCTGAGATGTCGGCTTTCGCCGTGCACCCACGGCTCTGTCGACAGCCTCTCTTCCTGGCTGCCTCCCTCGGGCTCTCTGCCAACGCCGCCCCACGGCCCTGGCATGGGCTGCCCAGTGAGCAACAGCCCCATTGCCCCTGGGGATAATGGCAAGGGGGAGACAGAGCTTCGGAGTGGGGGGTGGGGAAGAGGGATGAGACCCTCCAGCCGGCGGAACAGCCCCCCCTTGTTCTGAGCAGAAACTTGCTTTAAGAAGTTGTTTGCTCCCCTCGGAATTTGACAGCCCCACAAACCCCCCGTCTCCCTTCCCATCGCCCCGGGCCTCCTTGGCCAGGCGCTAAAACCTCCCCCTTCCCCACTCTCTCAGCCCTGGTGCCCCCTCAGGACAGGGCAGGATTGGAGTCGGCTGACGCTCATCCCAGTGTGGGGAGAGAGCCTGGCTTTGCGGGGCAGGAGAAAGGCCCTGGGGGACTGACAGTCCCCGCGCTCGGCTGTGTCTCCCCTGCAGGATCATCGAGAACCAGAAGGACGTGACGAGCTTGACTCAGGCCGACACCAAGTCCCTGCGGGAGCTGAAGAACCTGTGAGTAGCGCCAGCCTTGCACGTGCTTGGGGGTGGGTGGGATGGGGGGGCATGCAAGGGGTGTATGGGGGGGGCAAAGCCCCCCATTATCAAGGACAGGGTTGGAGGTACACGGAGCTCCCCATGAAATCTCCACTGCCTCTCACCCTCTCCAAACCCCACTTCAGCTGAGGAGGCCCCTGGGATGGGCCTTGGGGCAGGGATATGGGGACTTAAGGTAGCTTTAACTCTCCCCTTTGCACTTTCCAGACTTTGGTGTCACTTAGAGCAACCTGAAGGCTGCTCTAATCCGTGCTGGGCTGCCTGGGGGAATCAGAGAACCAGGCAGGGGAAGCCCGGCGGGGGAGCGTTCACACCCACACCGGAATGGTGCAGACAAGGCATTGCGGGGGCGTGGGGGGTGGGAGTTGGGCTGCGGCTCAGAAGAAAAGCTGCTGGGCCAAGTTCAGCCCTGGCATAACTCCGCTGGCGCGAGGGTTGCCATGACCTCAGCCCTCAGCACCTGGAAATTCGCGACGTCTCTTTGCTCTTCCCTTCCAGCACCATCGCCGCCTCTGGGCTGCAGTACATCGCCCCCGATGCTTTCCGCGCCAACCCCAAGCTGACCCATTTGTGAGTAGCGCCCCCTGCAGGGCCCCCGTCGCATCGCTCCGTGCCAGTGCTTCCCCGTGGGGCCTGCCTTTTCCCCAGTGAAGGGGGACCCTGTCTTTTCAGGGCAAAGGGCAACCCGTAGCTGTATTGAGATGGGTCCCTGCTGCGCCAGGCGCTGTACATACGCATTGTGAGAGACAGTCCCCACACTGAAGTGCTTGCGGTCGAAAGAGACAAAAGGTGGGAGGGGAAACTGAGGCACAAAGAAGGGATGTGACTTGCCCAAGGTCACCCAGCAGACCAGTGGCGGGACTAGAGCTCAGGTCTCCTAAATCTTGGATTGAGCCCTCCCGAATGGGCCAGGCTGCCACGTTAACCAGCCCCCGGCTTCACCAGCTAATACACGTCTGTCTATCTATCCATCCATCCGTCCATCAGTTTCAGGCACCGGCTAACTCCTCCCCCTGCTGGGTGGCTTTGTTCCCCCTGCCTAGAGGCCAGGGGGATTGATCGGGCACAGCTGTCTCTCCGACTGAAATCGACGTGAGCAGCCGAACTCGATCCCCTGGCAGCTGGGGCACAGGGACGGGGGGAGCGGAGCCCTGAGGAGGGGGGTGACCTGGGCCGCAGAGCCTTGCTGCTGAGTGAGAAATCATCGATCTGAGCAGGAGGGAGGCCCGTTCCCAGCTCACCCCATGGGGAAGCCGCGCTGCCCCCGAGCGACTGCGTTGGGGTGGGAGTCCCTGTCCCTCGTCCATGTGCATGCAGCAAACCCCCCGCCCGCCCCCCTTCCAGGACAGGCCTCACCCCTCCCCCCCCCCCCCCGATCCCGTCCCACCTCCCCCGGGAAGGCGTCCCCTCCCCTCCCTCCGGGTGCTTACAGCTGTTTTGATCCTCCCCTTGGATTGAAGGGTTTGGATCAATAGCACGACACGGGGGCAGAGCGGAGGTGTCGGCTGCAGTGCGGGGGGCTCCCCCGGATCCCAAGGTGGGGGTTAACTTGGCGGGGAGGACAGACACGTTCTCTCCCCAACGCTTGATGGAGGGGCCCGGATTCACCCCTCTCCGTCCACAAGGCCCTGCTTTGGGGGACAGCCAATGCTTTGCTCCCATAATGCACCTCTCCGGTGCCCCCAGCTCCGAACGGCAGCGCTTTCCGCTCCCTGGTGAAAGTGACTGTGCCCAGTACAGAGGCCTGGGGTGACCAAGGTATTTAGGCGCTTAGGAACGCAGGGGGGCAACTTGGGGGGGGGGTTACAAACGTGCCTAAGTGAGTTAGACACCTTCTTCAAACGGCTTTTTGGCGTGATAGCTACAAAAGCGCCACAACCGTTAGGCAGCCGGTGAGCTGGTGCTGCTCACGGCCCGTCATGGTGCCCTGCCTTGTCGGCTTCTTTCCTTGTGCTCTGTCTCTCTCCACCACCTTCTCTCGTCTCTTATCAACTCTTTGAATCAGGGACCCTGTCTTCACTGCGTGTCTGTACAGCGCCTTGCGCCACGGGGCCCTGCTCCAGGACTGGGGCTCTCCAGCGCTCCCACAGGCCCTGCCCCGAAGAGCTGAGGGGGGGGGCACCAGAGGTGATCATTTGGAGCAGTTGGGCTCAGAGAGAAAGGGTGCGGACCTGCATTCGGTCCCTTTCTCTGCCTCTAACTCCCCGGGTGACCTTGGCCAAGGTCACTTAGTGCCTCTGGGCCTCAGTTTCCCTCCTGCCCTTGGGGGGATAAATACCATAGCAATTGTGCGAAGCGCAGCCACTGTGGTTATAGGGCCCTGGCGGTGCCTGATAGATGGGTAGGGCTGAGCGCCCGGAGGTTGTGGAATTGTCTCCGCCGAGGGCGGGGGGGGGATATTTCTAACCAGGCTGGGGGAAGGGAACAGCCCAGTCAGGGTGGACGGGGTCTTTCCAACCACCCATGAGCTGCCGTAAGCTCAGTGGGAGCTGGAGGACTGTCTCCACCAGGCAGGCTTGGGCCAGTTCATTGCAGCCCGGGGAGGAATGCGGCTTTCTCCGTGTCGCAGCGGGGAGACCTGGCCCCCCAGCTCAGTTGGGGTCTCTCTTCCTGCCGGCAGGAACCTCTCCTCCAACTACCTGCAGTCGCTCTCCTGGCAGACGTTCCACCCCCTGGCCCTGCAGGAACTGTAAGTAAACCCGGACGGGGGGCCTTTCCCCAAACCATCGCCTGCCAGGGCAACACTCAGAGCCTGGTGCCCCAGGGTCACTGCACCGGAGTCACTCCGGATTGACACCAGCTGGAGCATCGAGCCCCTTCCCAAAGGTGGGGGGCTATTGTCGTGGGTGGGCCAACCCCAGAACTGGTGTACGCAGGTGCCACCTGCTAACAACTGCTCTGGATCCATCCTTCCTTCCCAAGCCTAGGGACAGGGCGATCTGGGTGTGGCTGTGAGTTAGCGACTGCGCCGGGACTCTGTCCAGCACTGAGTCCACAGACCGGTTTCTGTTTCAATCCGGGGGTGCTGCGCTCTTCTGAACCTGCTCCAGAACTCTTCTAGGACCCTCTTTCCAGTTCAGTTCTAGACTCGTGTTCTAGGAGCAGGTTTCCATGCCTGTTCTAGAGCTCGACTAGAAACCCTTTCCTAATTCAGTCCTAGCCTGCTGTTCCAGAAGCCCATTTCCAGATCGGTTCTAGACCTCTTCTAGGACCCTCTTTCCAGTTCAGTTCTAGGCTCGTGTTCTAGGAGCCGGTTTTCAGATCTGCTCTAGAAGGCCATGACCGAGCGGGTTCTATATTAGGTGAAGTGAACTCTCTTGCCCCTCGAACTGTTCCACTTGCTCTAGACCAGGGGTTCTCTTCCTGGGTTTGACAGCCCCGCGTTGGCCCATTGGCTGAATGTTTTGAGGGTCCCTGTCCTCTGCTGACTCTGCCTGTTCTGGAGCCAAATGAGCTCAGTTCCCATTGTACCCTCTCGATCCCAGACTGCCTGGACGTGGAGTCCAGGGATGGGGTCGGCTCAGGGGTGAGAGCTTTGTCGCCTCACCAAGATCCAGCGGGACCCAAATTTTCCCCAGCTCTGACACAGAGCACTTAGCATCCCCCTCCCTCGTTCCACCTGACCTGCCTCCCATCCCTCTCCCCTGCCCAGGGTCCTCGTGGGGAACCCCTTCCTGTGCTCGTGTGGGATCCACTGGCTGCAGCTGTGGCAGGGGAGCGGTCGGGCCGACTTGGGGAACCAGTCCCTGAGCTGCTGGAAGGAGGGAGAGAAAATCCCCCTGGAGGACCTACACATCAAGGACTGCGGTAGGTCTCTGCCGGGAGAAGTGGAGCAGGGTGGGGCTGGGCGTGTGAGCGGGGCAGGCTGATGTGCAGGGGAACACGCAGCCTCTTGTGCACTGGCTGCGCCCCATGCGCACCCCATGGGGACTTGGGGTCCGCTGTGCCTCACGCCGATTCTGCACCTTGTTTGCACCAGGGTAAATCTGGAGACAACAGGGCGATACTGGGGCACAGGTGTATGTAGGGGGGCAGCAGCGCGTTTCGGTGGGGCAGTACTGGGGGGCACAGCGGGGCGTTCCCATGGGGTGGTATGGGGGGGAAAGGGGAGTGTTCCCATAGGGTAGTAGTGGGGGAGGCAGCAGGCAGAATCCATGTGGGTTTGGTGTTGGCTTGGATGTGTGACAGGGAGAGCAGAGAAAGAGGAAGCCAAAGGACAGCAGCGGAGGGCCTGGCTTAGGATCCCCCCGTCCGTCCAGGCTCCTGGCGTGGCTGAGACGCCTGGCGCTGTCTCCTCATGATGCCCAGGGAGCAGAGGCACGGGCATCGCGGCCAGGATGTGTCTCAGCCTGGCCCCTGTGTGGTGCCAGCTGACTCCGGCCGAGGACCCGGCCTGCTCTCCCTTGTTGCCCGGCTAGCTAGCTGCTGATGGCGCTTCCCCTCCCCACCCGGGGCCCTGATCTCATCAGGGGTCCCAGAAGTGAGGGGAAATCAAGCGACCTGCTGGGGTCACGGAGAGCGAGTCGAGTTTCTGCAGGGGCCAGGCCCCAGGGTCCCCTCTGGAGCCCAGTGTGGTGCTTTGGGGTTCGTTAATTCAAGGCACCCCATGAGCACAGCGCTGGCCGAACGCGCAGGGCTCTGTCCCAGCAGGCACCAGGCTCAGTGACCCCCGGGCTGGATTCTCCAAGGGTCTGGCCTGGGGGTCAGAGCAGAGCCAATGTCCTGTTCTCCTCCCCTCTCTTTGGCAGACCCGCCAGAGATCTGGATCGACTACCAGGACGTGCTGGTGCAGCAGGGCGAGAGCGTGAACCTGACGTGCCACTTCACGGGCAAGCCGCGGGCACACGGGCACTGGATCGTACCCGACGTGGGACCCGAGCCCACCGTCATCACCAAGGCAAAGACAATACGGTCGCTATGGTTTGGGGCTCAGAGGGACAGCGGCCGGCCCCGGGTCCCTGCTGGGGCTGGTTGAAAACTCTGTCCACGGCCCAGGGAAAATTGTGATTTTTTTTTTTTCATCTAAAATTTCCGATTTTAGGGGAGAAAATTTTAAAAAGGAAAAAAAAACCTCCACATTTTTCAAGGAAGAAAGTTGCACTTAAAAAATATCCACCACTCATGGCCCCAGAGCCCTGGGGCGCCCCATGGAGCCCCTGCGGGAGGCCTGAAGCCGAGCCCCATTTAAATTTAGCTCCCTGTGTTGCAGGATGGAAGCGCTCCTTCGCCGCAGCAGGACGGCCCGATGGCTAGAAGCCACGGACCCAGCAAACCAGTGAGGTGTAGTGGCAGGAGCATGGGCTGCAGAGCCTTGCACTGATTGACTTCTAATCTTGGCCCTGCCAGTGACGGACTATATGACTGTTCTGTGCCTCAGTTTCCCTCATGGGGGATTGTTATCCTTTGTTAATGAAGGATTCCTTAGCTGGGGGGTGCCTGCTAAGTACTGTAGGACCTTGGTATTTTGTATGCCAACCACCCCCATCCCCCAAACTGCCTCTCTACAAATACTGAACAGCAGGGAGCACGCTGAGGTGAGATCCCGTGGTACATTTCTACTTATAAGGGTGCCAAACACTTAATACACTGGGGTCTGACTCCGTGCCTTTGGGTGCTAGCACACCACAAATCACAGTCGCGGTGTCAGGATAGCAGTAGCACACAGTGACCGAGATCAGGGCCCTGTTGCGCCGGGTGCTGTACGTACATGTTGTGAAGGAGAGCGCCAGTCCTGTAGAGGTTGCAGACTAGGCAAGGGGTAGGAGACGAATCAGCGGCACAGAGCGGGGGAGTGATTTGCTCATGGTCACGCAGCAGGCAGTGAGCAGACCCCAAGTGTCCTGAGCCCCAGGCCGATTCTCCAACCACTAGACCCTGCTGCCTTGTCCTTTTTATGAGGTAGACCAGGCCACGGGGTGTTTAGTACAAGCGATTGGCCTAAATCCTGCAGAAAGAGGGATATTTGCACCCAGTTCACTTGTGCTGCCCTTGCCCTCTGCAGGCTGGGGTCAGAATAACATGGCAGAGTGTCCAAGTCCCTATACTGGTGGCAGCGAGTGGAGATTCTCCCTGTTGGGGCATGAGCTTTTGAATGGCCCCTCAGTGCAGGGGGCTACAGATCAGAGTGCGTCACAGCGCTGGTGTCCTAGCAGGCTGAGCTCTCTCTCTCTGTCCCTGCAGATGTCGGACTCGGAAATCACCCTGCAGATCTTCAACGTTTCCTCCCGCTTTAACCGAAAAGACGTCACCTGCTGGGCGGAGAACGAGGCAGGCCCCAGCGAGGAAGCTGTGCAGCTGAATGTCACTTGTAAGCGGCATGCGGATCTGGCTGGGCAGCTGGAGGCAGGGTTTACGAGAGCGAGGATGGCCCGGTGGCGAGGGAGACCTGGGTTCGAGTCTGTACTCTGCCACAGACTCCCGGAGCGACCTTGGGCAAGTCACTTAGGGTCTGTCTGCACTGCAGCCGGCGGAGACGTACCGGAGGTCGTTTGGATCTAGCTAGCTCCAGGAACACTGGCTATGACGCTGCCGTGGCTTCCCAGCTATTGTTGTTCGATGTGGCTAAATCAAAGCTTCGTCCTCGTGGGCTGCCATCACCCCTTTGTCGCGCTGTGCCTCAGTTTCCCATGGTTGACATGGAGCTGATAGCTCTGCCTCGCAGGGGTGCTGTGAGGAAAGTTCAACCCAGATCGGGGCGGGGCTCAGATGTGACCATAACGGTTGAACCTAAGAGCGAGACGTTTGCTCTGTTCTCGGCTGAGAAGTCAGTTTTCCTGGCAGCCAGGTCAGTTTCTGGGGCTCCGTCCCGAGAGCAACGGGGTCAGGGGGACTCGGAGCCAGCAGCTCTTTCCTTCCACACCGTCGCACGAGGCACACGTAGATTGCAAGGCGGAGACTGTAAACTCCGGCTGAGGTCTTCAGCATCGTCCACGGGATCGGGATGCGTCTAAATCCCTTAGGCGGCGTTGAAAATCTCAGAGAACAAGAGAGAGAGAGTGTGTGTGTGTGTGTGTGTGTGTGTGTGTGCGTGCGCACTACACTTTTGTGGTTACCCACAGTGGATGTAAGAGATCGGGGGCAGGAGAGGGCTCCTTTAGCTTAAGTGCTAGTGGTTTGTGCTTTGGCGCTACAGGTCACAGGTTCTAATCCTGCGTGGTAGGGAGGCCATCTGGTTGCTCCCTGCAGAGGCTTTGCGTCTGGCTCGTTGCAGCTGCCCAGCCCAGGCAGGTGGTCTTGTGCTAGCGAGGCTCGGGCTAGTGTACGGAAATTAGCAGGTTGGCTGTTCTAGCCTCGGCTCAGGGGGACTTGGGAGCCCGAGATGGAATATCCATGCTGCTAGCCGGAGCCCCTCTAGCACCAATCTGGGAGGGTCGTTCCCAGCTCCCCTTTAGGAATCCGTAACCCCGGCTGCCCGGCGGGCATGTGGGTGGCTTAGTGACTGTGCCCGCTGCCTTCGGGCCCTGGCTCCGAAGCCTGCCGTTGGTCCCTGGGGCAACGTGCCGGCCTGAGCCCCTGTTTGTCTTCTCTCCCCGCAGTCCCCGCCGTGATCCTGGACCTGCAGGAAGCCATTCCCCAGCACTACTGGTGCATCCCCTTCTCGGTGGACGGCAACCCGCCTCCGGCTCTCCGGTGGCTGTTCAACGGCTCCGCCCTGGTGGAAGGGCAGTACATCCGCACCAAGATCGTGGAGTACGAACACAACTCCACCGTGGCGCACGGCTGCCTGCAGCTCAACCGGCCCACGCACGTCAACAACGGGAACTACACCCTGCTGGCCCGCAACCCGCTGGGCGCTGACGCCCGCACTGTCCCGGGACGCTTCATGGACAACCCCTTCAGCTTCAACCCCGAGGAGCCAATTGTTGGTACGGCTCCCCACCCCCACCCCGGGTCCTAATAACCCTGCTGGGCTGGGAACAGAGCCTTCCCCACCACGGGACCCACCCTCGGGCGAGCACTAAGGATGGGGAGGAATTGCTTAGGGTGGGTAGAGGTGCCTCAGTTTCCCCTCCCACCCATTTCAGACCGTGTCTGTGCCGTGGCCGGCACGACGGGGCCTTGATCTCCTCCACGCTCTAGTAATGCCCCTAATAATAATACTCGATTACGGGGTTGCTCTTGCCCTCCACACGGCTCCATAAAAGATCTTGAAGGTTATTCGTCGAGATGGGTCGAGACTGAAGCTAGAGGGGCCAAATCTGCCCCATTCCTGGAGCAGCCAATTGCACCGGTGCCACGTGGGTGTGAAATGCCCCCGCTCCACCCGGCACTCGCTTCGCACCAACGAGTCCGTGTTTAGTCTCCTGCTCAGTCTCCTGCTCACACCGGTTTTGCACCAGAGTCGCTCCATTGGGCGTCACTCTGGATTTACACCGGAGTGGAAGGACATTCAGGCCCTGGGTTTGGGCTGAGCAAAAAGTCAGCGGAGGGGTACTCTGATCTGGATTGGATCCAGGCTGCGGGGCTGCCGGCGCTGGGTGTGGCCCGCTTAGGGCAGAGGGTGCCGTGGCCAGGGCAGGGGTCCAGGGAGCTGGTGCTGATGCTGTACAGAGAGTAACGATGCTTTTCCTCCCCGTTTGCCCCACGGCTGCAGTGTCCCTGCCTCCGGTGGGTGAGTATTTCCTAGGTGGTGGTTGCTTCTCTTTGTCCCCCTGCTTGAACTTTGCGAGGCTCCTGAGTGGCTCCGTCTACCCTGGGCAGTGGGAGCACCCTGAACCCTGCACACCCCGCAGGACTGCATCCCACCCGCCTGCTCCAGACCCTTCCCCTTGCCCCGTTACCAACCCCTCCTTCGGGAGGAGAAGCCAGAGGATCTGTGGTGTGAGAGGCTGAATTCATGCAACCAGGGCCTTGGGTAGCTTGTCCTCCATGCCAGGGCTGCCTTCCGGTGAAACTGACAGGATCTTCAGGGCATAACCTGGGGGGTCTTACCTGGATGCACCTGGGAGGTTCTGCAGCAGCCAGGTGCACTGAGGGGTGTGTGGCTAGGGCTCTGGCTGGCCCTGTGATCTGGCTCCGTGGGTCAAGTGGAAGCAGGAATCTTGCAGAGCATCCTCCAGCGTTGCACAGGAGAGAGGATGGGTCTTTGGGTGGTTCTGTGGGACCCATACCCCGTATCCCTGCCCCCAAAAGGGGCGCTTAACAGCGGAACCCCCAAATTTTGCTACTAGCCCCACTCCAAACCCAGACTCATCACTGATCCCCCAAAATAAAAACCCTGGAAACTTTGAGATCCAGCCCTGAATTCTGCAGCTTGCTTCTGTCTCTCAGGCTGAGCTAACGCTGCTGCCTTTCTCCCTGCTGCAGGCAAGGGGAACAGCACGCTGGATGGGCCGGTGGAAACGTCAGAGGAGCACACGTTTGGGGTGAGCCCTGGGAAAGCGGATTTGGGGGACGGGGGCGGGACAGAGGTCACCAAGAATATTCCTGCCTTTGTTGCCGCATGAGGATGGGGCACGCATAACTGTAGGGTCTATTGCACCTTTCTGGAAGGAGCTCACTGCACTTGGCAAACATGAACCAATACAGCCCCCTATGAGGTGGGTCAGTATTTTTGCCCCCACTTCACAGGTGGGGAAACTGAGGCACAGAGAGACGAAGTGACTTATAGCAGGTTAGGGATCTTGACTCCTAGCCCTCTGCTCGCACCACTAGATCCCACTCCCTTCCCCGAGCTGGGAGCAGAACCCAGGAGTCCTGACGCCCGGGCCTGCGCTGTGACCTCTACATAACGTTGGCTCTCTCTGTCGTTTCATGTTGTGATGTTAGTGCATTTTCCCCCACTTAAAAGGGAGGCAGCATTTCTAGTGCTTAGAGCAGTGGGGGCTGGGAGCCAGGACTCCTGGGTTCTCTTCTGACCTTGGCTATCAATACTCTGGATGAGCTTGGGCAAGTCACTTCCCCTCTCTGTGCCTCAGTTTCCCACTCTGAGAAATGGGCGTTGTGACATTGACTCACCTTCCAGGTGGCTTGCGAGGCTTAGTTAATAATATCAAGGGCTCTGAGGCCCTCAGGGGGCAGCTGCTGGGCAGGGCAGAGGACTTCAGTGGGTTATACCACATGGCATGTTCTCCGCCCTGCTGGTGGCCATAATGATTTTGCGTCAGAGAAGAGCCTCGACCAAAGCCCTGGATCCAACCTCCCCCGAGGTTGATGGGTGGGGGGGCCCATAAATGGCAGCTGGGCCTTCACCTCTGCAATGGGCCAGTTCGTGCCCCGGGATCCCACCCCTCGGGCACCAGGAGTCTGGGTCCGAAGTCAAGCCCGGATCGCCCTCCGGCCCTGTGGACTGAGCTGCGTCTCCTCCCTCTCTCCAGGTCTCCGTGGCGGTGGCGCTGGCTGTCTTCGCGTGCCTCTTCCTCTCCATCATGCTGATCGTGCTCAACAAATGCGGGCGGCATTCCAAGTTCGGCATTAACCGTAAGTCCCCGTCGCCGCTGCAACCCCCTCCTCCTCGCTCACCGACGCTGTGAACGTCGGCGCTGGCAGCACAGGCCTCTGCCGCTTGAGCTGAAGGAGTAACTCCGCTAAGTGGTAGCAGTAGTAGGCTGTTATCCCCAAAGTGGATCGGCCACAGGGCCCTTACTGAGCTTGTTCCCACACCAGGCACAGGGCTGTGTGGTGAGTGTTGGATTCTCAGACCAAATGCGGGTTCCTGCACTATACGCTAGGCGAGCCGAGATCCCTTCCCATGGGCCCCTCTATGCAGCTCAGGCCCCACAGCATGGATTTGGTCCTGCTCGTCTTAGTGTGAGTCAGGCCAGGTCCTCAACTGGGGTAGTCGAGAGGAAACCCAGGGGTTCCCCGTCTACACTAGGTGTTGCAACAGCCGAGGCTGCTCTAACCTATGCCCAGAACAGTGCTGGGAGCTTTGCCTTCCCCTGTCGCTCCCTGGACCAGGGCCGGGATAAATTCCCCTGCAGGGGCTAAAGCGGGGTCAGACGCTGCCACGGAGTGACCCTCACTCACTTTGCAGAGGGCTCCCCAAAGGTAGGCTCGGGGGACCCAAGGAGAGGCTGGCTGGGAGGGTTTTCACCTTCCCCTGGGCTGGAGCCAGGCAGGTCCCCCCACCTGCGATTCCAGGGCTCCCGAGCATTGACGGGCATCTGCTTTCAGCAGCTCAGGAGGAGCGGGATTTTAGCACCCCGGTGCCCAGCCCTCCCCACCCCTGTCTGTGCCCCGTTGGGCTTGGAGCCATCAGATCTCCCGGCCCCGCTGCTGGATCTTTGATGAAGAAGCCTGGGGTGTGTGTGTGTGGGGGGGGGGGCATCAGGGACAGCCCCCTCGATAATTACTGCAAAGTTACCTGCTCTGCTCACTGCTCCCCGCTGTCGGCCCCCCAGCGGTGGCAGTGGTGGTGGTGGGGAAGATAGACCAGGGGGCTGCTGGAGCCTGACATCTCTCCCCCGTCCCACGCAGGGGCGGCCGTGCTGGCCCAGGACGACGACCTGGCCATGTCCTTGCACTTCATGAACCTGGGCAGCAGCCCCCAGTCCTCAGCCGAGAGCAAGCTGGAGGGGCTGAAAACCAACTTCATTGAGAACCCGCAGTACTTCTGCGACACGTGTAAGGGCCCTGGGGGGGCACAGGGCGGGTCCGGAGGGGCAGGTGGGTTCCGGGGAGGGTTAAGGGGGGGTTCCCAGAGGGTTAAGGAGGGGCAGGGCAGGTCCCAGAGGTGGAGGGGCTGGAATGGATGTGGGTACACAGGGGTGTAAGTGGGTGCAGTGACACGGGGACTCACTGGCACTCCTTGCCCCATGCGTGGGGCCCATCTGGGTTCTTAGCAGGGGAAAGGTGCACCCACGCCCACGCACGTCCATCCCTGGTTGACCATGGGTCGGGGTGTTGACGGGGAGTCCTGGACAGGCTGTGGGGGAGCAAAAGCAAAGGAAAGGGGCAAGGGGTTCTCATCTGCTCCCTCCCACCTGGATCCCTTGGCCCCTCCCACCTGGACATCCTTCTTGGCCCCTCCAGAATCCCTCACTCCTCTCCCCGGAAGAGCCCCAGGCCCCACCCCACCTTTCATGCAGCCAGATCCCTCTGGCTTCTCTCCTCTTTCTCCTGACTGGAGCCCCCGGTTCCCCCTTTCTCCAAATTCAGCCCCCACCCCAGCCTGCCCTGTCTCCCTGGCCCTCTTCCCATCCAGATCCCCGCCCCTGAGAGACAGCCGCTCCCCGCCCAGCTCCGCACCTCCCCTCCGGGGTGTGTGGGGTTGACGCCGGGCGCTTTGCTCAGTCCTTGTTCCTTGCAGGCGTCCACCACATCAAGCGTAGGGACATCGTGCTGAAGTGGGAGCTGGGGGAAGGGGCCTTTGGGAAGGTCTTCCTGGCCGAGTGCTACAATCTCAACCCCGAGCAGGAGAAGATGCTTGTGGCCGTCAAGGTAACCCCGCCCCCTCCTCCATGGGAAGCCTCCACTGGGGTGGGGGGATCCCAGGACCCGCCCGGGAGCTTCGAGTAGAGCAGCATGCAAGCGGCAGCCACTTGCAACAGGCAGGGTGGGACTGGAACCCAGATCCACCTGAGCTATGGGAGAATCCCCTGTTGCTGTCAGCAGTATAGGTCATATGACACACTTTTGTGGAGTTCTGATTCCATCCAGTAGGGGGCACTGGTGAGTGTATAGCCGCACGCCAATGTATTGAATGGGGGCCCAGTCTAGACCCCTTTGGAGATCAGATCCAAACTCGCCCCTATGGTTCTAGCTCTGGGTGAGACCCAAACGGCCCGGGTTCTTTCCCAGCTGTGATGGGGACACAGTCCCACATGAACGGCGACTGGCCTGCTCAATCCTCCTGGCAGTTAGCGGGGGTGGAGCCAGAGGCAGCTCTGGGAGTGCTGCAGTACCGCAGCACAGGGCCCCGTTGTGTCAGGCGCTGCACGGACACTAAGGGAGAGAAAGTCCCTGCCCCACTGAGATCAGGGCCCTGTTGTGCCAGGCACTGCGCGGACGCCAGGGGAGAGACAGTCCCTGCCCTGAATCGTTATCAGTCTAACTGGGTGGGTTTGTTCCCCGTGTCACACATGGGGACTGGGGCCTAGAAAGATGAAATGACTTGCCCAGCGTGAGCAGAAGCAGGAAGCTCAGCCACTGCCATGCCCCTGGGGACCCCAGCCCCGGTGCTCACCCTGCCCTCTCTGGGCCCGTCTCCCTCCCCGCAGGCCCTGAAGGAGGCGACGGAGAGCGCCCGGCTGGATTTCCAGCGGGAAGCGGAGCTGCTGACGGTGCTGCAGCACGAGCACATCGTCCGGTTCTATGGGGTGTGCACGGATGGCGAGTCCCTCGTCATGGTCTTCGAGTACATGAAGCACGGAGACCTCAACCGATTTCTCAGGTGGGGCCCGGCCGGCAGCCAGCATGGGGCAGGGGATGGGATGGGGTGGCTCTGTGCTGCTTCGGCCCCCAGCGTAGATTAGAGCAGCCAGCGGGGCTGCTCTAATTTACCTCCGGCCTGAGGTACCATCCAGCAGCCCAAAATAGCCAAAGTACGGTGTCCTTCAGCTGCTCCCCCAGCACACCCCTCCCTGCCCTTGGCCCCCCTCTGGCACGGCCCCTGCATGCAGGGTGGCGCCCCAAAAGGCCATTGTGCCAGCCCCACACGCGGTGAACAAGGTGCCCTGTGGCGCTCCAACGCCAGAGGGAGGCAGAGGAACAAAGGGTCAGTTGTGAGAGGTGGTTTTCACCCAGGATTCAGGAATTGCTGGGGTGGCACCGGGGGGCGACCCAGGCTGCGAGGGGGAAGGAGCTTCCGCCCAGGCTGGGGAGAGAAGCAGGGGCGAGGGTGGAGCCGGCTGATGGAGCGCGGAGAGATGTGGCCCGCTGGGTCGGCTGAGATGCAGATGGGGGATAAATGGGGCCTGAAATGAGACAGTGGGTCTGAAGATGCAGGAGGGTGGATGAAGCTGTCGGGGGAGCCGGGATGTGTGGCGGCCGTGGAGAATGGGGGTGGCAAGGTGACGGGAGGCAGAAGCCAGGGAGGGGCGGGGAGCGGAGGCCGTGGCAAACGCAGACTGGGCCACTCTGCGATGCCCTCCTGGGCCAGCTCTGCCTCTTTTGCGGCATGAAGGAAACACTGATAAATGCGAGGGTCCTTCTCCCAACCGGCTGCAGCGTGGCAGGGCCCCTGCCCAGGCGCTAGGGCTCACTGAAGCATTTTCAGGGGTTGGGGGGGCAGCTGTTGCCATGGGATGGAAGGAGGGGTGCCATCCAGAGTACTGGGGTGAGGGGTGGTCCCGGAGACAGCCCTGGGGAGAATGGGGGGGCCCCCGCAGAGATAAGAGTGGGGTGGGTGGCAGCTAAATAACACCCCTGCTGCAATCCCCTCGCTAGGCCTGGTTGCCGGGGGTGACACAGGCCAAAGTGGAGGGACAGCCCTGACAGCCCGCCATGGGGTGGGGGACACGTGCCCCACCCTCCCTTTAAATAATACACTGTCACCCCCACACACACACACACACACACATGCGCACACACACACGCCAGCTCCCAGTTAGGGGGCTGTTTGGTGACCCCCAGCTGGGAGCCTCAGGGGCGACAGGGCCATCCAGGGGCCAGGGTGCCAACTATGGCATCACAACACATGCACGTCGGCCTGCACCACACACGCACTCGACCCTCAGTGACACGCCGAGCGCCACACCGACACTAGCACACACTTCTCCAGGCTTCCCCCCAGCCCTGCCCGGCCGTGACTCGGGATTATTCGCACCGTTATGGCGATCCCTGCCTTGGATTCCCCCCCCCCCCCCCCCCCCCCCCCCCCCGCGCATCCCCCCCCCTTTGCCGCCCCCCCCCCCTGGCCCCCCCCCCCCCCCACCCCCCCACTGCTCCATTACCACGGCAGCTCAGACAGCCGGCCCTGCTAATGCGGCCTCCTTGCAATATTGATTAGATTAGCTGTCTGAGAGGCTGAAATAGAGGGAGATTGGCCATCAGCTGAAATAAGCAGAGACTTTTCGATTGGCCCCCGAGGTATTGGCACTAGACGGGGCGCTGCCAGCGGCATCGCTTAGTGTCCATGGGATGAGCTCTGAGACCTGCCTTTGATGATTATTGTTATGGGACTTGGCATTAATGGTTTTACTTCCCCGGAGCCGCGTGGGCCTGTCCCCGGCCTCCTCGCCCAGGCTGTCATTAGCACTTGGCATCAAACGGGCCCCGTGCGTGCGGGCACCTGGCTGGGTGAGGGGGAAAGCATCCCCCCGCCCGCCGGCCGGGTCTGCACCTCAAACCCCAGCCCCACAGGCTTTGGGGGGGCAGGGAGTTGGGCTAGCCGCACATCCTCACCCCCCCCCCCGCCCAAACACCTCCCCCCATAACCCTCTCCCCTTTACACACACTCGCATGGAGACATTCATAGAAACGCCAATGCGCACATCAACACACACACACGCCCTCAAGCGTACACACTCTCACACCTGCCCTCGGGAAGGAATTTCCCCCCCTGGTCATATTGGCAGGACTCTTGGGGGGCGGAGGGGGTTCCCCTTCCTCTGCTGCGTAGGGCGTGGATCGCCTGCTGGGCATGTCCCTCCTAGTCAGTTGCCTGCTGGTGCCTGGGCCTCGGGCATTGGTGGCACCTCGGTCTGGCCGCACCCAGGCCGGCTTGCACTTTTGCCGCAGCCTAGAGCGATCCGGAGTCAGACTCTGAAGAATCGGTTCAGTTCGGGAACGCTCTGAGCCCGGCCCACCCTTGCCCTGCTCAGGTCCCACGGGCCAGATGCCAAGATCCTGGATAACGGCAACGGCCAGTCGTTTGGGCAGCTGACCCTGAGCCAGATGTTGCAGATCGCCACCCAGATCGCCTCGGGCATGGTCTATCTGGCCTCGCTCCACTTCGTCCACCGCGACCTGGCCACGCGCAACTGCCTGGTGGGCCGCAGCCTGGTGGTGAAGATCGGGGACTTCGGCATGTCCCGGGACATCTACAGCACGGACTACTACCGGGTGAGCTCCCTGAGTGGGGAGGGGCGGGGAAACGGCCTGATTCTGCTGCCACGCCTGCCCAGGGCCCGATCCATAGCCTGGCGGAGTCAATCAGGGCCTTTCCAGCGGCACCAGTGTGGGCGCAGCAGGAGCGGATGCTACTGGCCTGGGCTGGCGCGGTGCTCTCAGACAGCTTGGCTCATGCTGTGTCTGTCCCTCCCTTGACTAGGGTGGCCATGTCCCTGGTCTCCAAATGCCTACCCCCGTTGTAACCTCCCAGCACCTCCTCTGCCCCCCCTCCTCAGCGCCTGTCTCCCTTCCGATTGGGCCCCATCAGGTTTGGGGTGAAGGCTCAGGCCTCAACACTGGGGAGAAAATGCAAGTTGCCTCATAACTCACTGTCAACATCCGTGTCTCATTCCTCCACTGACACTTATAACAGCCTACTGCTGCTGCCAGCTAGTGGAGCTCAGGGCTGGTCCATATAGAGGATAACAGCCTACAATTACTGCCAGCTAATGGAGTTCAGTGGCTGGTCTGTATAGATGACAGCCTAATGCTGCCAGCTAATGGAATTCAGTGGTTGGGCCATATAAAGGATAATAGCCTACTACTGCGGCCAGCTATCAGAGTTACTCTGGTAGAAATCTATGCTTTGGAGGTCCCATGTTTGAACCCCGTTAGGGATCCCATCAGCCAATTCTTTGCCCCCCGTTTCCCAAGCATCCCTCTGCCCAGGTCCGTGAGGCTGCATTCAGTGCCAGTGGAGGAATTGCTCCTCCTGTGTAGAGACAACGCTTCCCTCGAAGACCCCAGCCCACTCTTCCCCCATTGCTCGAAAGCGCAGCGTCAGTCGCTGGCTGCCCCGGGGTAGCCAATGCACTGGAAGAGTGACACTTCTCGGAGCAAACGCATCGCAAGCCACATGGCCGGCCGGCCGGAGGGCTCTGCTGGCTGCGGAGACCCATCCATCTCCATCTCCTCGAGAGCTCTGCTGGGATCGGCCTCTGTGACAGGCAGGGGGCTCCGAGGGGCCTCTTCCAATTTTCCCTTTTAGCTCCTGCCCCACCTCAGCCCCCTATGCATATTTAATGGGGCCTGCGATGGAAAAGGGAGCGCAGAGCACTTAGCGAGTGGAAAGGCAGCGCTGCCAGGAGGGGGGAGGGGCCCCCGACGGGCTGTTGTGAAAGGGTTAAATAAAGGGGGGGGGGGAGAGAGAGATGGTATGAAATGAGCCCGTTTCTGGGCCCAATTCTGTTCTGCCGGTGTAAATCAGGAGTGACTCTGGTCTCACACTGGTGTGAGCAAATGGAGAATCCAGCCCCGCCCCTTTCATCTCTCTTCTCTCTTTTTTCATTCCATTCTGCTCCTTCCCTCTGTCTTTCTTCCTTCTTGTTTTTTCTTTTCTTTCTTCTCCCACTTTTTCCTTCTTTTATATTCTTCCTTCTCTTTCTTTCCTCTTCTTTCTTGCAATATTTTGACTCCGCCCTCCTCCCCACCCCTCTGGCTAACCCATCCTTGCCTGGTCTCTCTGGCAGGTGGGCGGACGCACCATGCTGCCCATCCGCTGGATGCCCCCGGAGAGCATCCTCTACAGGAAGTTCACCGCCGAAAGTGACATCTGGAGCTTTGGGGTGGTTCTCTGGGAGATCTTCACCTACGGGAAGCAGCCCTGGTACCAGCTGTCCAACACTGAGGTGAAGAGTGGCTCGGCGAGCGTGGGGTGGGTGGCAGCGCCGGGATTGGGGTTGGGCAGGACTGTTGGGTTAGTTCCAGGGATCAGGGTCTTTGAGCTGCTGGTTCTCTGATGGCCAAGAAGTCAGCTAGGGGGAAAGGAGATGGGCTAAGAAATAAGGGGGGACCCCATCTAGGATCCCATCCCCCATGGCTTAAAGCAGATGCTTGTAGCATGCTGTCCCTCGTGTGGCAGTGCCGTCTAGAGGTTACAGCCGGGAACTGGGAGTTGTGACTCCTGGGTTCTGTCGACAGCTCTGGGAGGAGGCGGAACAGGAGTCAGGACGCCTGGGTTCCATTGTGCGGTGTGGGGGCTCGAGGAAGGGACTGGGACTCAGGACTCCAGGGTCCTCTCCCCAGCTCTTCCACTGGCTCGTGTGTTCTCAGCTTCTGTCCCCTACATCCATCGGGGCTAAGAACACTCGCCGGGTGGGGATCGGTTTGCAGGATCTTCACACGACAAGATGCCAGGATGGGCAAAACACCCTCCGCCTCTAACAGGGCCCAGCCAGTCCCGCTCTCTGGGATGGCCAGGGCTGAGCAGGGAGGGGCCAGCCTGGCTCTAGGGCTCATGGGGCTGGAAGATATTTCAGTTCTCCAAAGCATGAAAGATCTGATTCAATTTGCCGGCCCGGGGTGAAACCTGACCTGCCCCTAACAAACTCACTGTGTGACCTAAGAGCTTCCTTGCCCATCCCTTGGTCTAATGTTTCCCAGAGCAGACGGGGAGTCCCCCGGAGCAGACTGATGGCTCTTTCCCTCCCTTCTGCTGAGCCCAGGGGGATTCTGGGGAGCGGGAGCCCAGTGTCTCTTGGTTTCGTGTCGATGACCCCCGCCCATGGCCCCCAGATCAGAACAGCTAAGGGCCGGTTGGAATTGGGCAGGGAGGGGGTCATCACCAATTTATAGATGGGGAAACTGAGGCACAGAGCGTTGAAGTGACAAGGGACTCAGCAGCAGAGCTGGGAAAGGACCCGGGAGTCCTGACTCCCCTTCCTGTGTCTTGCCCCCAGCACCGTCCCATGCCCCCAGCTGGAAGGGTGTAGCTAAGCTCCGTCCTGGGCAGAGAGAGCGCGTCGGCCGTGTCCTCCGCTCAGGGCTAGTCATTGCGGGGTTGAAACCCGGACATTTCATCTCCTCTTTTGCTTCTCCGCAGGCCATCGAGTGCATCACCCAGGGCCGGGAGCTGGAGCGGCCCCGAACCTGCCCCTCGGAGGTGTACGACATCATGCAGGGCTGCTGGCAGCGGGAACCCCAGCAGAGGCAGAACATTAAGGAGATTCACAGCCGGCTTCAGGCCCTGGTCAAGACCCCTCCCGTCTACCTGGACGTCCTGGGCTAAGGACGGGGATGGAGACGGGGAAGGAAACCGGCTCTTCCTTCAGGACGACCCCACCGGGATCCTCCTCCTACCTCCTCGCCTGCCCCTCGCCCCATCGACGCATCGGCCAGGATCCCACCCCCATCCTGGGGTCAGAGGTGATGGGACCACAGAGAGGTTCCCCGTCTCTGGCCTCGGCGGGACTGTTCCCTCAGCCAGGGGCGTCGGGATGGGACCGAGTTCCCCAAGACCTGTCAACCTCATACGAAAGTCGCTCCCTTCGGCCTCTTTCCAGCTCTGGCTGGCGGCCCAGGCTGCTGCCCTTTGCCCCCCGAGAGCGGTGGCGGGAGGGCGCATGCTGCCCTCAATTCAGCCTCCAGAAGCCTCCTCACCCGCCGAAGACAGATGGACAGACGGATGCTAAAGGGACAGATGGAGGACACCCTCCACCTCAGTGGGTGGGGGACCCCTGCCCTGTGTCTCTTCCTACGGCAGACTCCACCCTGGCACTGCGACCCTCCTTCCGCCCCCTGCTAGGTGACGCGGACGCATCGGTTATTAGTTACCCACTGGCTGAAGGACTGACGCCAGCCGTGTATATTTCAGGGGGAGGATGCTTCGTGGGCCCAGACCCCCAAGGTTTGGGGGAAGGCCAGCGTGGGGGGGGGGACTGCTGTTGAATGGTATGAACGTGTTTAACGCTATTTATCATTATACACGCTAGCTCTTTACTGTAGTGGCTTATCTAGGGTGGGGTGGAGAGATTGGGCCAAGTCCTGGGGCTAATTGATCGTAATAACGGGACGTTTGTCCACCGCAGAGCTGGCTGTGAAATCCCTTTGCAGCTCTTGGGCAACGACACCCACCTCTGAGCATCCAGAGCAGCGTCCAGACGTCCACGCTGCAGTCCTGGGTTGCGATTGCAGCTTGCTGTGATCTAGCCGGCTCCGGGACAGATAGCGAAGCCACAGCAGCACTGGCTTGAGCGTGGGCCGTACCGGCCTGCCCGGGACCCTGGGCGATTACTCGGATTACGCCTGGGCTGTCTTGACTTCACAGCTCTGGTCAGGGCCAACGAGGGGGGGGGGGGGGAAGAAGCCGGTACAAATTACCGGGGCCCGGCAGTCCGGAATGGGGCCGGGGGCCTGGCTTCCCTGGCTTCGTCGGTCCTGTTTAGCCGGTCCATCCTTGCTGGGGGGGCTCTCGACGGCCCTGGCTCTGGTACCCACACTAGCTAGATTAAGTCGCATCTCGTGATTGCAGTGTGTAGCCACACCCTGAATGTCAGACCCGCTGTTGCCTGGCCCGTGCGAGCAGATCCTCCCCTGGTGTAAATCTGCATTGCTCCAGGCGATGCTGATTTGCACCAGCGGAGGATCTGGCCCTGTGACGCTCGAGGCCTCGGGCCCTGCGTGGTGATTGTGGGCTGGGGCTAGGAAGTCCATCTGGCCAGCTGCTAATGGGAGGAGCTGTCTGAGCCGGAAAGGTGAGTCAGGGAGCTAGCGTGTGGCTGCCCAGGTAGTCAGTCATCCCCTCCTGACCCAGGGGTCACTATGGTTCTCTGAAACTGATGGGGCCTGATTCTGTTCCCTCACCCCCGTGGAATCTGGAGTGACTCCACTGAAGTTGCTGGGCCTGATTCTCATTTGCACCGAGGACCCTTTTTGCTGCTCTGGCAGCGTAAAGGGGCTTTAGCTTTGGCCTAAATTATTATTCTGTATTTGTATTGTGGTAGCACCCAGGACCGCAGTCATGGGTTAGGACCCCACTGAGCTAGATCACTGCTGTGAGGGCTTGTCTACACTTGAAAATTAATCCAGATTAAGGCAGGGTGTGAATTTATTAAAGTGCTGTCACAATTCCGGAATAACTCTGGGTGTAGACAAGCCCATCACAGTTCCATCCGCTTTATGGCCCCTTTACATTGCCAGAGCAGTGTAAGGGCCTACACCCAGACTGACACCGGTTAATTAAACTGGTTTAGTTAAAAGTGGTGCAAACTGCTGTGTGGACGCTTATTCAGGTGTGAAGGCAGCTTATTCTGCTTTAGTTTAAGCCTGTTGCCAAATGACAAGTGCAATAAACCTGATTTAAACCAAAATGGAGGGAGGGGGAAAGAGCGTTGCACCAGTTTAACTAAATCAGTTTAAATTCACACTTTAAGGGCTTGTCTCCCTGGGGACACTCAGGAAAATTAATCCATATTAACATTTAACGTGGGTTAGTTTTAAACCACATTAAATTCCTTATTCGGAATAAAAGTTTCACCTTAATTCATGGTTTTTTCCTTAATTCAGTTTGGAAATGAATTAAATTAAACCAAATTAAGGCCACTTTCATTCTGAATGAGTGTGTCCACACAGGGGCTTAATGCAGTTTAACTAATCCACTTTAACTTCACACTTGTAGTCAATTCCACTTAACTTGCCCATGTGTCCCCAAAGAGGCAAACCCTTAGGTTAAACAGGTGAAACTTCCCCCTGGCGCCCAAGCCTTTGTCAGAAGGGAATTGATGCTGCTGTAAGTGAGAACAGGATCCTACGACTCTAGAAGCTGCCTTCTGGATCTCTGGCTTTCTCGGTGTTCCTATCTCTGTAGCGCTGTTTCTGCCCTTGGCAGGGCTCTGGATAGCAGACGTGTGTCTTTCTGAGCACTCAGTCAACTCTGTGAAGGAAAATAATAAGGAATAAAATCTCCTGTCCATTTCACTCAAACTCCAAGCGATGGATGGAGCGGGAGTTATTGCGTCTGCTGTTCCTTTACCGCGGGGGCTAGCCCAGCGCCTGGCTTCATTGGAAAATGATTCTCTTTCCTCCCTAACAGGATTATTCCCCTGCCTCCCTCCTCCTCCACTCTCTCCTTCACCCTCGGCCACGGCTTCCCAGTCAGCCAGCGCCGTGACCGGCGAGAGGTCAATTCACGTGGCACCCAGCGCAGATCTGCTAGGGGTGGGTCACGTCGGGCCATGTTGCCACACACAGCCAGGCCCTGTCTGCTATGCAGTGCCTTCAGGAGGAGAGATGGGTTTAAGGAGAAATCAGAGCATCTTGGGACACACAGGAGGAAGGGAAAACGCCCGTGTGCTAAGAGAGGAAGGAGTGCCTAGAGCAGGGGTGGCCAACCTGAGCCTGAGAAGGAGCCAGAATTTACCAATGTACATTGCCAAAGAGCCACAGTAATACGTCAGCAGCCCCCCATCAGCTCCCCCCACCACTCCCAGCACCTCCCACTCACCGGCAGCCGCGCCGACCAGCTGTTTCGTGCCATGCAGGAGGCTCTGGGGGGAGGGGGACGAGCGACGGCACTGCAGGCTCAGGGGAGGGGGGCGGGAAGGGGTGGAGTGGGGGCAGGGCCTGTGGCAGAGCCAGGGGTTGAGCAGTGAGCACCCCCCGGCACATTGGAAAGTTGGCGTCTGTAGCTCCAGCCTCAGAGTCGGTGCCTAGACAAGGAGCCGCATATTAACTTCTGAAGAGCCGCATGTGGCTCCGGAGCCCCGGGTTGGCCACCCCGACCTAGAGGGTAGAGTGCAGCTCAATTCCTGGTTCTTGGTGTGACCGTGGGCTTGTCTACATGGGGAGCAGTTCTGGAGCAGCTAGTCCTGATTAACTCCGTGGGAGCGGCGGTGGTGGTGGGGAACGCTCTTATTCCAGAATGCGAGTGTCTTGTTCCAAATTAGCTTAATCCCTCTTGGACGTGAATTAAGGGCATTCAGAATAAGGGCATCCACGCACTGTGTTAACCAGGAAGAGTTCATCCTTTTTAAATTCATGCCCTAGCTTATCCCGTACTAACTTTCATACAGAGAGAAACCCTCTGCCTATGCTGAAAGCGGCTTGTGGTTTTTTTTTTATCTTGCTATAAAATTTTAGTGGAGGCAAGGCCAGGTAGCTTTTACTGGAACATAGCAATGCTATACCTCCCCGGCCCGGCTGGGACCTCACTACATTGCCATAAAAGCTACAGAGCTGGGGCACCCCCAGGATTTTGCAGAGAGCTACCGCCCTGGGAAAACACGGCCTTTGGCTGCACGGAAGCCACGGCCTGGCTCTCTCTGTACAGCAGTTTCACGCGGGGGGTGTGAGCAGACAAACCACACTCGAGATTGTGAGGTGCTCTGCGGCTCCAGGGCTGGGGTGGGGTGTAGAGCTTCGCTCTCTTGCAGGGGAATTTAAGCACTTCTGGATCTACGACTGCTGTTCCGGCAGGGTGCAAAGGCTCTGCTCACGGCTTGGGGCGCGAGCAGGCTGAGCGTCACAGCCGCATAAAGCACAGACACTGGGCTTGCCCCAGAGAGCTGAGATCTCGGGCTGCTTTCCTGTAGCTCAAACGTTGCCATTTGGAAGGAGGAAACGCCGATGCTGCCTGCCAACAGCCAAATAAACGGGAAGGGATCCTTCCAGTGGGGTGCTAGCTGCAGGAAGGGGGGCTCCCGGGTTCCCAGCTCCTGCCACTCACCTTGGGCAAGTCACTGCCCCGCTCTGTGCCTCAGTTTCCCCGTCTGCAAAGCGGGATAATGACACGTTCCTTTATAATGTGCTGAGCATAACAGGGGGCTGGGGGGAGAGGGAAGGATCAGGATCAGCTCTGCCCCTTGAACAGCCTGCCAGCTGCCCGTACGATCTCCCCAGCCCTCCCCCTGGCTGGCCGTCGCCCCACAACAGGGTGTTACCATGGCGTTGGCTGTATCTGGAACGTGGGCCGCCCTGTGCCACCAGAGCAGCAAGAGCTGTTGAGAAAAACCTTGTGAGACGTTAATCTCAAGACAACTGCTGAGCCAGCCTTGGGCTCAGAGGTTCCTTCTACCCCTTGGGGGCCCAGCCCCCAGAGGGTTCCAGTGACCGGGGTCGCTGCACCAGCGTCCAGCTGGGCTGGTGTGTTGGCCAAGGGGGTGGCCGTCACACAGGCACCCGTCCGGAAGGCGCAATGAATGTGTCTCCTTTGGCAACTGCACGTTGGATGTAACTGCAGGGCTCTTAGCAGTGGGTGTTTGCAATGTATCAGCACCTAGTGCCCCTCCCCAGGCCGGACGCAGTGAGAGAGAGTCCCTGCCCTGAAGCATTCACAGGCCCAATAGGCAGGTCTGCCACTGACTTCTTGGATGACCTTGGGCAAGTCACTTATTTCTCTGGGCCTTGGTTCTCCATTTCCTCGGTCTTGTCCGTTGAGATTGTGAATTCTCCAGCCCAGGGAATCTGTTTCACTAGGTGTTTATGCACAATGGGCCCCCCATCACAGCTGTGGCCAGTAACATCCCCACCAGGGGTGGCTCAGAAGTACCTCCAGTGCGTGTGATCATAAACGCTTGTGACGTGTTCTCTTGGCTTCCAGCCCCGCTCCCCTCCCTTCGCTTCCGATAAAAACGCTTTCGCCTCACGAGGCTGCTAATGTAGTTACTCGCAACTGACACGCGTCACTCCGGTTTGCAGCCTTGCCTCTTTGTGCCGGCCCCAGTCACCTTGCAGAGCCCTCTTGCAGAGGGGCACGTGGCCAGGGGCCAGCTGTCAGCGGCATTCGGTTTTACTTTACTCTGCAACCTGAAAGGAGGCCCAGTCAGCAAAGAACACACATGCACCTTCATCG